CAGGATGGGGCCGGCGTAGAGGCGGGGCCCTGGCGGTGGGCTGGGTTGGGGGGGCGGGGCTGCAGGATGTGGGCAGGGTAGAGGCGGGGCCCTGGAGGTGGGCGGGGCTGGAGAAGGGGGCAGGGCTGGGTTGGGGGAGGGGCGGGGCTGCAGGGTGTGGACGGGGTGGAGGCGGGGCCCTGGCAGTGGGTGGGGCTGGAGGAGGGGGCTCTGTGGGGGGGGCTGGTCGGGGCTCCGTGTTCGTCACTCATGGGGGGGCTCCAGGACTCTGCCCCCCGGGTCTCACTGTAGCCCCCCCGTCCCAGGGCCTCACCCCACGCGCTGCGCAAGGAAGCCTGGAAGTTCCTGCTGGGTTACTACAACTGGGAGAGCAGCAGCGAGGAGAACCGGGCCCAGGCCCGGCGCCGAACGTGAGTGTCTGCCCCCGGGACGGGAGGGGCACCGGCAGGGCTCGGCAGGGGAGGGGCTGGGCTAGCAGGGGCTGGGGGTCGGAAGGGAGGGGCGCTGGGGGGGCACAGAGCTGGACTAGCAGGCGCTGGGGGGTGGGAGGGAGGGGCGCTGGGGGGGCACAGAGCTGGGCTAGCAGGCGCTGGGGGGCGGGAGGGAGGGGCGCTGGGGGGGCACAAGGATGGGCTAGCAGGCGCTGGGGGTCGGGAGGGAGGGGCGCTGGGGGGGCACAGAGCTGGGCTAGCAGGCGCTGGGGGGGCGGGAGGGAGGGGAGCCCCTCACCCCGTGCTCCCCCTGCCCCAGGGACGAGTATTTCCGCATGAAGCTGCAGTGGAAGTCGGTGAGCGAGGAGCAGGAACGGCGGAACTCCCTGCTGCGCGGCTACCGCAGCCTCATCGGTCAGTGCCCCCCGCCCCGTCTCCGCCCTGGCGACCCCCCAGAGTGAACCCCTGTGACCCGGTGCCTGGAGGGGCCACCCTGAGAAGGTCACGCTCGGGGCAGACGCCCCCCCAAACTCAGGGCAGACGCCCCCCACACCCGTAACCAGGGAGCATCTGCAGCTAGTTCCCCCCCCCCAAGCCAACCCCAGCTCCAGTCAGGCGTCCCGGCGAGAGCGTCGTGAAATCCGGTTCACCATTCTTGTGCGCACCCAGGCACGTGCGCACGCCTGTTTCCTGCGCCGGGAGCTGTGCAGCGCGCCAAGGGAAAGTCCGTCCCCCC